ATTGTCAGTGTCAGTAATGTAGCAAACCTCCTTAACGTGTATTGTCAGAGTGTCAGTAATGTAGCATACCTTAACCTGTATTGTCAGAGTGTCAGTAATGTAGCATACCTCCTTAACTTGTATTGTCAGAGTGTCAGTGATGTAGCTTACCTCCTTAACATGTATTGTCAGAGTGTCAGTAATGTAGCATACCTCCTTAACGTGTATTGTCAGAGTGTCAGTAATGTAGCATACCTCCTTCACGTGTATTGTCAGAGTGTCAGTGATGTAGCATACCTCCTAAACGTGTATTGTTAGAGTGTCAGTAATGTGGCTTACCTCCTTAACATGTATTGTCAGTGTCAGTAATGTAGCAAACCTCCTTAACGTGTATTGTCAGAGTGTCAGTAATGTAGCTTACCTCCTTAACATGTATTGTCAGTAATGTAGCTTACCTCCTTAACATGTATTGTCAGAGTGTCAGTAATGTAGCATACCTCCTTAACTTGTATTGTCAGAGTGTCAGTAATGTAACATACCTCCTTACGTGTATTGTCAGAGTGTCAGTAATGTAGCATACCTCCTTCACGTGTATTGTCAGAGTGTCAGTGATGTAGCATACCTCCTTAACATGTGTTGTCCGAGTGTCAGTCATGAAGCATACCTCCTTAACGTGTATTGTCAGAGTGTCAGTAATGTAGCATACCTCCTTAATGTGTATTGTCAGAGTGTCAGTAATGTAGCATACCTCCTTCACGTGTATTGTCAGAGTGTCAGTCATGAAGCATACCTCCTTAACGTGTATTGTCAGAGTGTCAGTAATGTAGCATACCTCCTTCACGTGTATTGTCAGAGTGTCAGTGATGTAGCATACCTCCTTAACATGTATTGTCAGAGTGTCAGTGATGTAGCATACCTCCTTAACATGTATTGTCAGAGTGTCAGTCATGGAGCAGTTCCCTAGATCCTAACATATATCATAGTAACAGTTATGCAGTATACCTCTTTTATAGTTCATACTTTGGCTGTGCTTTTTGCTCTCCATTTTGCCTAAATTTCTCGAAAAATTATTGGCATAATATGAAATTTGAATATTTCATCACCAAAAAAGGAAATATGCTTCTGCACTTAATCTGACTCGGGTGGGACAATGTTTCCATAAATGATCTTATTCCAGAGTTATTGTGTTTCTTTTTTCTTAGATAGTTATCTAGTAATTAGGCAGAAGAAAAAAAAGATATGCTTTGTATATGTACTATGTATAATTTTTCAGAATATTGAACAGATATAATATATATCTTTTCTTTATATGTTGGGTTTATTGTCCTTTGAACAGCCAGGTTGGAATTGAGATGGGCTCACCTTTTTGTAGCTGATGATCACCTCACTGAACAACATGCAGGAGGCCCATCAAAAACAGTTAGGGTAAAGTGTTTTACCCAAGGATACAACCACAGACCTATCCATTTCTCAGTTTCCTGAAAAACACGTTTTAACCATCGCGTTTTAACAAGTAGCGTTTTAACGAGTAACTCGCGTTATAACCAACACACCGTTTTTTAATGAGATTTTTTTCTTTTCAAAGTGACACTAATAGGCCTTCGTATGTACTGCAGGCCAGCTCTCTAACCAACTGAGCTGTATCTGCCCCTTTCATTTAGCATCATCATTGAGTGATATACATCAGAAAATATTGTCCCAGTGTTACTGATGAGGAATAAAACAGCTTTGTTTAGGCCTCTTTGTTATCTATAAGTGGAAATGGAGGACATCGCAACAATAGCCTTTACCTGGTATTGACCATACCCCTTTGTCGTTGCTCTGGCACAACTCTAAGGCTGATATAGTGCTTTGTTTACCACTGTGAAATGCAAATAGTTTTTAATGGAATCCATCATGATGTATGATCCTTGTTTTTGTTATAAAGCTTCCGTTTCATATACTTGTTGTCAGAACTATTGGAAAACTGTAAAAGCATACCTGTTCTGTGCTCTGTTTTGTAATCAGATAATGTACAGCTCCTGCTAGGTATGAAATAGACATCAGACAATGTATGTGATAATATATGATTACCTGTATGGATAAAAGGTCTGTTGACATAATATTGGCACGTTTAAGAAGAATTACCGTGCGATAATCACTTGTAAATATATTTATCTTTCATGTGATATGGAGGTGGTATCATATTGGTTGCTTAATATAGTTGGTCTGTTCATTCAGGTGGTCTTATAAGAGACATGGTCTTAATACGGGTCGTCTTGTAATGCAAATGTCAAAATCTTCTGTCTGCAGTAAAACCTTATTTGTATTTAAAGTTGGATAATTAAACTTGGTGATACATTAGTATACTGATATGATGTGCAATGTACCAAATTCAGGTCCTTAATTACAGAATTAATGCCCTTTGTTAAAATTTTGCATGCAGTAAAGTTGTTTTCAGGGAGCATCCACTAGTTTCACAGATAATTTTGTTTCAATGTAAATTGTGTATACATGGAAAAATAAATGGATTGAAAGACTTTTATATTGTGGTCAAAGTCACACATACTGCATTGATCCTTACTCCGTGGGGTCAAACATTGGTGAAGGTTTGTCCCATTGGCTGGAATCATACAAAGATGAAATACAGTAATTGTGTTGAATATTGTAATATCTCTTCCATCTTCATAGCTCACTTTTCAGTACTTTAAAATCACATATTTTCAAGGAGCTAATTTTTGTGTTTTTCCTAAAAATAGTTTGTTCATTGACACTTGATTTTGTTGCTACGGACAGCTAAGTTGATTTACCGAGACTAATTCTAACGGTTTGTTGACGTATAAATTTGTGGATTAAAAGTACTCACAAAATCAAGGAAAATAAATTCCCAATGAAAATGAATGATTATACAGTACTTTCCATTGAGGAAATAATCATCAACATGGTGTTTTTGCGCCGACTCTTGAAACCCACATATACACACCCACACCATGACAAAGTGAGTGAACCATCCTATCTGTAACAAATGTAATTCACTCCCACCCACGCAAATCCTTATCATTGCTATACCTTTGGAAGCTACAGGAACAGCTACCTCCCTCTAGGTACTGATCCTGATCCAAAGGAGCCAGTTCTCATGTTAAACAACTACCCTTGGTTGACAATCTGTTATATTTGTGTGTGTTTATGTATTCTGTACCAATTCTAATTACTTGCTCTGGACACAGATGCTAATTGGTTTGGTCATTTATTATGCATGTAAGTTATTGGATAAATGCCAGTTATCTCCCTTTTCCTATTAATTGTCATTAGGCCTGAATGGTGACCCAAGTGTGTGCGAGTATTGATCGGGGGAGTTGGGACAGAGGAATTTTGATTGGTTTGATGGAAATCCTCAGGGCACTCTGTGGTATATCCTATGTATGGCCAGGCGTCGACCAACTACTGAAATAATGATGAACCATGCTTTTATTAGTTATGAAACAGAATCCCGTATATACCTTAATATTTAGGAGGTGTAAATAATGATCTCCTAGAACCCGTTCTTATAAGTTAGGGTATATCACATCATATACATCATGAAACACTAATCAAAAACAAGTTCAGCTCGTAGTCAATATAATTAAAGAATAATTTGATTGAGGAAAAGGCTCCCCGTCATTTCCAACTTCCTTGTTGAGAATGAAGTTGTAATCTTGACAGCAGATTTAAAATCCTAAAAAGATTACATATTGGAAAGCTATTATGGAATTTTATTTATTGGACACAATGTTTTTTTCTTTAATATTGGGAGGTTTGATGTGCTTTGTTATTCAATTTTGTCACTAAAATTGTTTTCCATTTTCTAGAGACACAATTCACCATATTATATGCATACATATATAATCCATTAAAGTTGCTGTTTTAGAATGTGTACTCCTGTTGTAATAGATATCTTCACGGTTGTGATATATATTGGAACTTTCTAATATCTGAAATGCATGAATTGGTCAAATTGGCATTATCCTGAAAGTTTTGTTCTATATTTGGTAAATTTTATAACTTTACTTATCAAATATTGATGTAAAAACTCGATAACATGTTTTAGTAATACTTGGGTGCTACCCAAGTAACGTTGGCAAAAACATGGAGTCTCATCTATCAATATGGAATGTATCATATTTTTGTATTTTTTTACACGATATGTTCATATATATACAAATGTCCATAACAATCTGAAATTAATTCATTAATATGAAATGAAACTTTGTGAACTGAAGCTCTGTGAAATTGGGCTCCGGGGAAATTGGGGACGTCGTCACCATAAGAATCAATAGGCTTAGTCGTATGATGGTGAGCCTAAGCAGAGAAAGCTAGTTTGTGCATACCTCGCTTGGTGCTGCCAGCGTTACACTGTTATATACTACATTACCTTGTACTTTTGTTATAAACACATTTTGACTGTTGATACATTTGAATTTACTTGATGCAGATATAACGTGCTGTATGGATTAACTGATAGACACAACTAGAGAGAGAGAGAGAGAGAGGGGACACACTCGCACACAAATGTTCATTATTGCCCCAACCCTGGTACCTGGTTTTAGGATATTTCTATCGCTGCCCAAAGTCGCTCTCACTGAGTTCACGGTCGACTAGAGCTGCTATTGTGCTACTGGAGAAGGTATGTCAACACACAGTAGCAGAGTATACTGGCAGTGATACACAAGCGCCTGTTAACATTGTGTACGGATACTTCTACTGACTTAACAGGTAAACACACAGTGAACTGCTACATTCTTTTACAGAAGTACAGTTCTACGCAAGTCGGCTTCAATTTTACTGATATTTTATTTTTTTATCCTGACTTTGGATCGGTGTAAAACTTAATGTTGTGTATTCCTAATTTTCCAAGGATCTACTTCCCGTTTTGGAGAAAAGTTAAAATAACCGAAGAATCAGTGATGTTCCTGCCAATTCCACGGTGATACTTCACTATCTTACGTGCTCACTAAACAGGAGGTTTTACCTGGCAACGGGATTCAAGCCCCTTCTGGACCAAGATGGCTCTAATATTGCATCTCAAATATGCGGAGAACCTTAGGGGTCGAGCAGATCGGCTGGCTAAAGTGTCCTTCCGGGGTAAGTCCCTGAACGTTATCCAGTCTCCATTAGAAGTTGACAATGAATGTTTTTGATGTTAAAGAGATAAATGTAGACATGTGTAGAGTTTGTGCGTTGAGCCATGACATGATATCCCTGATTCTTTATTTAGCTTCCCAATGTGTCTGAAATTTCATAACAGTAGAGAAAAGTTGCTGTAGGAAATTGTTTATCTTTTATTTATTTATTTATCTATCTATTTTATAGCATCTAAAGTTCAAACATTATACATTTTGAAAGAGAGCTGCAAAGGAAACAAAAACAAGTTTTTCAAAAATGGAGGTTTTATCTACAATTTTGCTGAAAAGGTAAAAACCTGTTCAGGCTTCAGTCTAAGGTTTTAAGATTTGCCTGAAGAACTTTCACTAACAGGTTTCACTTACTATACATGTATGGCTTGACCGATTGTCAACTTTTTAACAGGTACATTAAGCAACCAAGTGGACTGATTTTTTTACCTCTCACATCGTTATTGGATTTGTTTTCGTCTTAAACTGGCTGTTGTAATTCTGTGGGAATAATAAGTGATCTCTCCACTTGTGATAATGTTCATGTCAATTTCAAATAGAAAGAGTTAATGGGTAGATATTTTGTTTCCCTATTTGCCTCCATTCAGAAACAAATTAAATTTGTCACTATTATAGGAATCTTAGGATTTTGAAAGGGCACTAAAATTCATTTTCAGGTATTTTTACCTTCTGAAATAATTCTCTACATCAGAAATCAGACTTCTGAGAAATGTAAATATCACATGCTCTCCATCTCTTTATCTCTCTCTTTCTGTCTGTCTGTCTCTCTGTCTCTGTCTCTATTTCTCAGGCTTATGAAATCGACACACATTGTATACATGTATATAATACATTGTCACAGGGTTATTAACTGGTTCAGTGCTATGGCTGTCTTTATATCACTTTTTAAGAAGACAGGTGTCATTCTAAGGAAGCTTATTCCTTTTGTTGTGTACATTTAAACTTGACACGAGGTTAAGATATTTTTAGCCGTCTTTCATGACTTGATGATCCTGTATATTTGTAAAAGTACTAAAGTACTCGCGTTTAGAAAGCAATTTTTTCTGACGCCATCTAGTACAATCAGTTTTTAATTTTGTTTGAAACAATGTTGTTTTCACTTTTAACAACACTGATAAGTTTACTCTGTTGGTACATAAAATAGTTGTTTAAAAAATGAAGAGATTAGATTACAAAATTACCTCTTGTACTTTGAATGACTCTTTAGTCAATTGGTGAATGCCAGCAGTATATACCAGACAATTTAGATAAAGTCTATACATTTAGAATACCTTTACAAATGATAACAATGGTAGCTGTTCATTTCCAAACATACAATAGCCATGTTATGTTTACCTGTGGCATTTTTACCTGCACTTCATCTGTATACAGTGTCCGTAATATTTTATCTACCCTTGTTTATCAACATAGAATAAGAAGCTTCTTTAAAGCGTGGTTAGCCAGATTAAGCCACGATCAAAACATTTTGTCTCCGATTTAAACATTAGTGACATCAATAATACATTTCCATACTGTGTGATTCATTTAATTCAATAAAGGTCATTCCTGCTGGTAGTTTATTTTGCAACTTCTCTTGAGTTCATATTCAATTGACTTATTTTCCCACATATTGGGCACCACATGTGGTGAGAGAAATGCCTACTGTATATGTTTTAGTCTAGATCTTAAGTGAGTGTCAGAATACCCAGAGGTCAGCTAAGACAGGATGTCAGAATATCCGGAGGTCATCTAAGACAAGATGTCAAAATACTAAGAGGTCAGATCAGACAGGATGTCCGAATACCCAGGGGTCAGATCAGACAGAATGTCAGAATACCCAGGGGTCAGATCAGACAGGATGTTAAAATACCCAGAGGTCAGATCAGACAGGATGTCAGAATACCCAGAGGTCAGATCAGACAGGATGTCAGAATACCCAGAGGTCAGATCAGACAGGATGTCAGAATACCCAGAGGTCAGATCAGACAGGATGTCAGAATACCCGGAGGTTATCTAAGACAAGATGTCAGAATACCCAGAGGTCAGATCAGACAGGATGTCAGAATACCCAGAGGTCAGATCAGACAGGATGTCAGAATACCCAGGAGTCAGATCAGACAGGATGTCAGAATACCCAGAGGTCAGATCAGACAGGATGTCAGAATACCCAGGGGTCAGATCAGACAGGATGTTAAAATACCCAGAGGTCAGATCAGACAGGATGTCAGAATACCCAGAGGTCAGATCAGACAGGATGTCAGAATACCCAGAGGTCAGATCAGACAGGATGTCAGAATACCCAGAGGTCAGATCAGACAGGATGTCAGAATACCCGGAGGTTATCTAAGACAAGATGTCAGAATACCCAGAGGTCAGATCAGACAGGATGTCAGAATACCCAGAGGTCAGATCAGACAGGATGTCAGAATACCCAGGAGTCAGATCAGACAGGATGTCAGAATACCCAGAGGTCAGATCAGACAGGATGTCAGAATACCCAGAGGTCAGATCAGACAGGATGTCAGAATACCCGGAGGTTATCTAAGACAAGATGTCAGAATACCCAGAGGTCAGATCAGACAGGATGTCAGAATACCCAGTGGTCAGATCAGACAGGATGTCAGAATACCCAGGAGTCAGATCAGACAGGATGTCAGAATACCCAGAGGTTATATAAGACAAGATGTCAGAATACCCAGAGGTCAGATCAGACAGGATGTCAGAATACCCAGAGGTCAGGTTAGACAGGATGTCAAAATACCCAGAGATGAGATCAGACAGGATGTCAAAAAACCCAGAGGTCAGATAAAACAGGATGTCTGAATGGTCAGAGGTCAGAGGTCAGAATATTGCACAACATCCAGGCCTATTTTGGAAGCATAGATGATTTTACATCTGTGTGTCAGGTTGGGCAAGCTATTGGTATGAATATGGAATTAATTTGCTGGGTTTATCTTTGCATTCCTTTCGTCCATTTCATAATTGTAATTGACTAGTAAATCATGTTGTTTTTGAAAAGATATATAACAACTTCTCATTAATGTCATGATTTATAGTGGAAAGACTTGAGAATTAAATATCAGTTCTATTTCATTACATAATTCAAGTAAATGTTGAAGTAGATTGGTGAACAAATAATTATTTTAACGGAACCCAAAAATTCAGTGTTTTATATACTTTTTTCTTCTTGGCGTATTATTTCTATCTCTATAATGAGTTAAAACCTCACTAGATAAAAACCTCACTAGATAAAAACCTCACTAACGTCACTAGATAAAAACCTCACTAGTTCACTCTATTTTCCAAGTATTTCCAGTATCATACTTTTGTTACGGTTACCTGTGTAGGTGTTTTCTACTAAACAATCAAACATCCAGTTATTTACCTGTGTTAGGACTCAATACAGGTAAGCATCAGTGAGAAAATCACAGATGTCGACAATAAAACCTATTCAAATACCTGTGTATGGAATAGTGTCACAAATGATTTCACAAATAATTAAGTTCTGTCAAAATCAATTATTTTGTGGAGTATTAAGGAACTAGATGGTACTTACTTAACAAATGGAATTTTTAAATATGTACTAATTAGACCTAAATTGGCAAATGTTTGTTACATAGTTACAACACAGATAAACAATGTAAGATTTGACAAATGTTACTAAGGATATGATAAATAATATGTAATCATACTCATCCTTTTTATCTCTCCCCTCCCCCTTTCCCTCTCCCTTTCCCTCCCTCTTTCCCTCCCCCTTCCACCCCTATATAATCATTCAGTCCTTATGACCAACCACTTCCATATCCATCCCCACTCCCCATGTAATTGTCTGTCCGTTTGTCACCCTCCCCTTCACCCTCCAATTTCTATCTGTACATTAATTAAACCTTGATGCAATTAAAGATGAACATCAATTTCTGACTTTCTGGTGTATTTTTCTTGCGAAAGCCAAAAGGAGCTAACCTCTTACCTAAAAATCATGGGGTGGGCTTATTACAGGACATTGGCATAATATTTGTTGATAATCCTACATAGAAATAATAGGTATGTTTGGACTTGTTTCTGGATAAATATGGTACTCATTTTGGTAGACTCGCACAAGTCCAGAATTTGTTTACGTCTTTCTTCAACAATATGATGTCATGAAAGGAAATGGCCTTGTTTTGAATCAGGTCCACATTTTATAGTTGTACAGAGGGAGAAAAGATGGCAGGCCTACTGACAGAAGTAAGAGTTCTATAGTCATTAGAGAACACCAATTTGTATTACCCTGAAGGATTGAAATCTTTTCTCTCCTACAATTCAGAAACAGTCACTTTCTATCATTATAGGGTAAATCACCATTGTCTCTGTATTTGAATGACCATTTTACGATTTGTGTGTGAAGTTGTTATGTGATAAGTTTTCTACTGAATATACACGTTTATAAAGATAAAAACCAACATTCGTTAATGCTTGTAAAATGTCTCTAAATGAGTTTTGTAACTAGCTTCACACTTTGACCATTTTGGAAAACTTCTTTCTAACAGAACAGAAAGAACAGTGAAATAGTGTGGGCCAATAGTGATTTGCTGTTGAAAACGTATAAATGGAGAGATTGTTGCATAATACGAGAATTTTTATATGAGTACTGGGGAAGGGACAGGATTATTTGAAATCCTTGTTAAGGTGATACAAAGATGGATGTAGGCATTAAAGATACATACTAAAGTTATGATATGTGTTACTAAAATGAAGTATAAGGTTACTGTATTTGTCCAGCTGGTAAGTAATCAGTAACTGAGAAGTCAAGACAGCAGTGCCAACAAACCAACATTCCCACACCAATCGTCATCACTCAAAATTCATTAACCTTGGTCCAATTAAAATTTTTTCAAGGGAATGAAAAATAAAGTTTGATGATAGATCACTGAAGTATTTTTAGTGGAAATTATTGAATTTCTTTCATTATATCACTGTTACATTTTTTAC